TTCTAGTATATAAGGACCCCCTTAGGCATCCCTAGTCCCCATCTCGACCTCTTGGTCATTGGGACTAGGTGAGTGGCCATAGCGTTGTATCTCCCTTCGGTTGCTAATGTATAACTTGGTCATTGGGACTAGTCTGTCGCTGTCTGCGTGAAGACTAGCTTTCGTAGGTCTTGTGCCTTCGTGCCGACCTCCGCTCTGCCCCATCGAGTTTCTTGTTGCGTTTATCCCTCTCCCTCCCTCTCTCTTTTCCCTTTCGGCTCCTTGCTGCTCGCCTACGGGATCGTCGCCGAACGTCGACCCGAGTCTACACGCCTAGTCACCGTGACAAAAATGTGGGGAAGAGTTGCGGTAAGTCGCGTCCGCATGGTTCGAGTGGAAGGGAAGGCAATGCCAGCGCTGCCAGAGGCCCAAGGTCAAGGAACGGCTAACAGTGCCTGACTTAACGTAGTACTAAGGGAGAAAAGACCTAGGATGCCTTAGTGGATCAAAAGGAGAGAACGACCAGAGAGTAAGAGAGAGGCCCAGTGTGCGAGCCCCGGTTATAAGGTCGATGTGGCAACCATGGTGGAGCTGCGGGCGCCCAGTGGTCAGCGCCGGTCGGCATGCGCCACATTGAACGGAGCTCCTGGAAGCGCTACTGTTTGAGCGCAAGGACACCATCGTACTCCAACTTGCACGGGCATTTGTCGAATTCCGGCTGCTTTCGCGCCCTTTTTCACGTTTTGCGGGCATTTGGAGTCTTTCAGCAAATTCTATGAGTATTCCCTGACATCTCGGCGGGAGGTTTTTCCTGATGTCACATGAGATATACAACCAGGAGACGGAATGAGATACGAATGAGTACCTTCCAACATCGCAAGAGGACTAGCTATTACGTGAACCAGCATCTCTGTCATCTGTCTGTCGACGTCTCAGAGTATTTTGAAGGAAATACAGAGAGTCACAATCGAGGAACACAGATGATCATGATAACGCTCACCGTGACATTAAGTATTTGCGGCGGTACTCGACGGGACAAATCGTGTTCCTCCAGAGGAATATGTTCGTATAATGAGAGACGCTCGCAGGTAAGGCTTTCGATGTGCGGAAGGCTGAAAGGAAGCGAAGGAAGATCGCTTCCATTTGGAAACTAGCAGGGCGGATAGTCAGGCTCCGAAGACTGGTTGCGAATTGCCCGCCGGGCGATAGGGTGGACTGAGGGAGTTGGTTATTGTCCTCTATCAACATCGAGATCCTATCGAACGTGACACGACGGAGACTGGGGAGGATGGACAGTAGAGGGGACGGAAAATCGCCCCACGGAAACGACAGGGAACGCACGACGGGCTGGAGGTGTGACCGGGCTTGGACAGCATCGTAGAACTGTATGAGTTTTTCCTTGCTCTGTATGTCGACATTGGTGAATAGAACAAAGAGGCTACGAGGATGGAGCTGGCTGCAGGTGAGAGCAATAGTGCGCAGCGTGGCGTTGTCGCCTGCGCAGAGATTGATGGCCCTCTCGATGACCTCCCATGGAAGCGCCGGGGACTGCACGGTGGATGGTGAAGGATGCAGAGAGTTTACAAGATCGTCCACGTCCATGGTGAACAAGGGCCGTTACAGAGCCTTGTGGTTGGTGAACGATAGAGTGAGCTTCAAAGGGACTCGGACTGGGGACGAGCTGCAGTGGCGTTGGACTCGCAGGCTGTGCCAAGACCATGACAAAAGGGATTGCATTCAATCAGATAATGCAGACGTCGAATGGGACTCTTTCGAGTCATCTTTCTCTTCCGAATATCAGGGTTTCTCGTGTGCGTTGAAGGGCATCGATAGCAGGATGCTGGTTGTTGTTCGCCCGAATACAGCAGCACTAGCATGACTGTTGCCGGATTCGAATAGACAGGAAACCCGCGCACGATTCACAAAGCAACAAGCGAATCTCAAACAGTGCATTGCATCAATCGCTGATGTCTCCGAGGCCAGAAGCCCCCCACTGTAGTGCACGGAACACGGGCCTTAACCGTCCGCAAGACGAATAGTTCGTCGCAAAGCGATCGTCCGCATCGGAGGCCTGGCATCCAACATTGACCATGTCACGTTTGCGATGCTATTACGCAAGACCGACGAATACTACCTGCGGTATGTTACCCTCAACTTGCAGATTATGCCAAATAGCCGACGCAAGAACGAGATGGTCGACGCGAAAACGGTTTATGCTATGTCTCTACCACGGGTTCGGAGATGGTAGTAGTGGTCTCCTTCGTATCAGAGGTGGGTATCGCGCCAGCTACGTGCAGGTAACGTCTTCTAGTCCGTGAGAAGGGACGCACGGGATGAACACGGATTGCATGTACTCACAGTGCCAATCGATGACATGTGCTCCGTGCGCATATGATTGCAATGTAGCGCATGCAGGAGAAGGCGAGCTCGTCTGTGTGCGCCGGAAAGTCGAGGCGATGGATACAGGAATGCAGTCACACCGCTTGTCTTCTACCTTGGCCGGCGATTATGAGCATCTGGCCGGAAGATGGGGAGAGAACGAGAGCTTACCTTCTCCGCCTGCTCCAACCAAGCGGCTCATACGCTATCGCCGTTATCTGTCCGCGCGCGGCGTGACCACAACCGCCATCCTGAACCCCACATGGCACTTTTTGTGGGTATCATGTGTGTTCTATACCAGGGATGTGCCCATGAGCTCAACATTATAGGGCTCGTCGAGCGATGAGAGATGGAGGGGAACGTTGTACGAGGGTGAGAGACTGGAGACACCGTCGCCCGCATGGCTGCAGAGCGCACGAAAAGTAGCCTTGATCAGCTGTGTAGAGGCCCAGGTGGGTACGATGAGCATAGCATGAATACGACGAGATGGCACAATGTCCATAACAGCGCTAGAGGGTGTTGGACGTTGTGAAAAATCGATGTGGTTAGTGCGATATTGCGTGGACCGTTCGCTGCGACATTCTATACCAACTGCCAAGTCCGACGAGTGTCCGCAGGCATATTACGCAGGTTAGGCCGTGGTGCGGTAACTATATGCACGAAGCTCACCCTCAAAATGTCGTAAGGTCGATAGCCTTGCATTGACGAAGTCCCCAATATGCAGACCTGCGAGCCCAGCTACATGAAGAGTCTCAATGATGTGACCAACCTCGATGCGTGGAGTGTACGTGACGAGGTGGTTGCGTTATAGTCCACAATCATGGTTTTAGCGAGGGTTCTCTGACTGGATGTTCGATACTCAAGACTGAAGATTCAGCCCCTGGCTTCCCATTGAGGCAGAGTTGGTGGATAGGCACGGAGTGTATGCATGATATAGACACGGATGGGAATGAGTGGGGAAGGACGGAAACTTACCCAACGTGACCCCGCCATCCACTGGAGAAACAGCACATGTGTTCCGGCGCTGTTACCGTAAGGCGCCTGCAAGTTTACATTCGCAGACTCGATCCGCGTCTCTCTAAGCTTCTGGGACAATTCATTCTCTACGAGGGGCACGCCTACGAGGTTGACATAGTGGGATCCGTCGAGCGAGGGGAAGTGGAGAGAGCGATGGTCGAACGTAGGATGATCGGAGGACCCAAGACGGTAAGGACAGCAAAGGTGGCGATAACGGCGCGAATGGTCAAGGTTGCAAGCGTTATAGACATGGGTAAAGCCGGTATTTCTAGGGCGGGCGGGTGATTTTGAGCTTCGGCTGTTGGCTGCAACAGTCTATGAATAGGAGGACCGGGTACGGTATAGCCTACAGGCGAACATAATCGAAGCTTCAGAGACATTTCAAGGCTGAACAGAAGGCAAAGGACATACCACGACGTTCTGTGGGAGATTATAGCCGGAGTCAACCCATGCAGTCCCGGCAACAATCACAAGGAGACGATCGCCGCGCACAAAGCGCAAGACCGGCCGCACAGGCAAGACATGGCAAGACGGTGGCTTGAGATAATCGATTCTCGGTGCTGACTTGAATAACAAGGGGCAGCGAAGAGACGGCGAGGACACAGCGAGCTCAGAGTCCGAGTCCAACTCAGAAGGATCGACCGCAACGGCCACGGTCTCCGGCCACTCAGACGCTCGAACAGACGGGCCGAAGACCGGACCGGGACTTGTACCCGGCTCTGCCAGTGCTGTTGCGACACATTTGGGATTTTGCGTCCATGTCTGCACTGCCGCCTTTCGTACTCCCGAATCCACTTCTCTGGACGTCTGAGATGTCATCCCAGCGTATAAGAGCATGTATGGTAAATTGAGAAAAGATGAGTAATCGCATGAATGCAATATTTCCCCTGCCCAGGTCCATGGGTGTTCTGCTGACCTTGCGATCCAGTACCCTCTATAGGTAATTGTCCCACGACTTCCTAACGCCCCCGACAGTGCTTCCAACTTGTGTACCCGCTATAACAAACCTGCATTGTCCCGCCAATGTCACTATCACACCCCCTACAGGCGCATCGGCCCTCAGACCACAGACCGGATCGTAGTACGAATGGCTGATTGCAACTCCTGCACGGACGTGGGGAATATCCTTTGAGTGTAAGTGCTTCCCCTATGTATTTGGTCATGCTGATCCTAATCGATACGAGGTCGAATGCCCCTCTTTCCGCTGCAATGTGCCTGGAGCACAGGCCCTGAACTATTAGTCACACTCTTCCTACACATCAGAAAAACCTGCACAGCTCTTAAAGCACCGAATAAGACCTTTTTAAGACCTTTGAGAGCATTTTCAGACCTTTAAGAACCTTCGGCAATCAGACGTCCGAGATGCACTTTAAGAACTTGATAGACGTCTGAAATAAGAGGTTTCAGAGGTTTCAGAGGTCTGGCATATGGTGGCATATTTCGCGCGCGCGAGCTTGTGTATCATATGCAACATATTCTACGAACTGCTAAGTGGCTCGAAGAGTTTCGGCGCCGCGCCAACCTGACTTCGATGTGCCCTGATGGTCTTCTTCGCAACCAGGACCTCGCTCATGAGATGCATCGGCGCTTCCTGTACGAGTCTACGACCAACTCGAACCCAATGCCCCCATGACGGGAGACCTTGTCGACCTCGATGAGGGCCCAAAAATCCTCCCCTAACCAGCATATCAGTATATCAGCATGCAATTGCAATAATATACGCACCGAGCGAACTTGCGGGACCACATAGGATGCACCGCGCGATCATCCCGGAGTGCCGATTCTGAAACGTCTTAAACCTCTGAACGGGCGCTTTTGAGAGCTATAAGTAGTTAAGAGATTGACGCTTTTACTGATGCACTCTCAGATGTTTCTCGACATCAATGTTCCGAGTCGGTCGTAATGCACGTCAATTGAACACCGCGCGCGCCCTCATCCAAGCAGTCGGGGAGCTCTTGTTTGTAGCCACGCGAATTGGTATCCTTGAAGCGTTCACGTACGACCAGCAGAATTCGACTAGACAACGTTGTGCAGACGTTGCACCTCCTGCGGGCCACAACCGTACTGAAGGCGCGGAAGACCCTAGGTGCACTCGGCCGCGCCTTGTGTTGCAGAGAAGTCCACACTGAAAGCAAGATCTGGACTGCGGGTATCGTCAGTTCCTGGACCCAGTTTGCATCATGTCGCACCCTACAATCCGATTGAACGGGGCAGGCCCTGAGGCCAGGCCACATCGTATTCAAACAATAGGAGAAGCTTCGCTTAGCAGCTGCAGATTGATAACCTCTGCTTTCCATAGTGCGTGTCCATGGGGATATCTTGTTCCTCGTAGAGCGGCACGTCCGTGTACTTCATCGCTGGCTGGGAAAAGGGGGAATAACGTAGATTCAGCTTCAGCATATCTCCGTATCCGTCAGTCGATCACCTCGCGTGCCATCACAAAAGCGGCCGGCAAGTGTTCGTTCGCATCTTGCGTTCTCCCGAAACTTATCCGCGCCTGCGCAGTTTCTACAACACACCTCATAAGGAGCTAGCATAACTAAGACCCGACCGAGATACTCGACATGCTCCTCCCACCACCCCAATTGCGCGCGACCGCGGGATGCGCAGGTCGAACCGGCGACGATCAGGGGCAGAACTATCCAGCCAAGACCGAAGCGGCAGCAAAGACATGTATCGCAGAGCGAGACCAGAATCGCTTACTGCGCCACTCAACGTCCGAAGTAGCTGAGTCCAGAGCACGTGAGACAGGGGGTCAACAGACAACCGATGTGGTCGACTCGATGGTGGTCTGCGGACGTTGCATATTCTTCGGCTCATGGCCCGAGGCAGGGATCGCAGAGCCTGTCGGACGTCGCCAACCGTGCCATTTGTGCACCGAGTGCTCAGCAGGGGTATCAGGCTGCGGTCTCGGGGTTGTTCGCCATTGTACAACACCTTCCTTCCGTTGTGGCTGGCGGTTTTGACTATGCACGCTGAGAAGGCGCACTTTCGGGATAAGGTATGCACGTCAGATGGTAGACGCTGAACGAGGCTACAGGCGAGATTTGAGGGCGCACTGGCAATCCATGTATATAGTGCAGACGTATGAGGGTTACAAGGAGGGGTGCGGGTCAGCAGTGTGCTGTACAAGTATATCTAAGATTTGAATATGTTCGGAATAATGTCCTGTAGCCGACGTCCCAGAACAGTCCCATCACACGCTGCGGACCATAACATTGTCCCGTCCGGAGTGAACGCAACATGCCGGACCCATGAACCGTGTTCGGAGAGCTTCTTCATGCATGATCCCGACCTCGTCTTCCACAGCCTCACCGTCTTGTCTTCAGATGCAGAGGCGATATACTTCCCACACGGTGAGAAGCATGCCGTGAACACCGCGCCCGTGTGCCCCTTGAGCGACCGGATCTTTGCCCCCGTGTGAGTATTCCATATCGCCATCGTCTTATCCACCGATGCTGAGAGCAGTAGCCGACCGTCTGGGGAAAAGACGATATCGCGGGCCCAATCTGCGTGCCCCCGCAAGAGCAGAGGCGCCCCTCTAGTCTCCAGGTCCCAGACACGGACCGTTCCACATGTATATGAAACAGCAACGTGTGTACTTTGCGGACTGAATTTCGCTGTGGTGGGAAATCCGTCTTCGGAATCCTCGTCGCCCCGTGGAAATTCGAAGGCCAGGTATGTGCCAGACGCAACTTCCAAGATGCCGCAACTGTACCAACCGTGGACCAGAAGCCAACGGCTGTCAGGAGAGAATAACGGTTCGAGGTGTGTCGTCTTGGCGCGATCACATGGTAGCGGCTGATACGTGCGTCCATCCCAGAGTCGCATAGTGCGGCCATCCCCTTGGGATGCAATATAAGCACCATCATTGGACCACGCGCAGCTTTCGAGAGGAGTAGGGTGACCCTGGATGGTGGCGACTTGATGTGGACTGCCACTGATGATGTCCCAGATTGCGACCATGCCGTCTTTACCTGTAGACGCGAGCCGTTGGCCGTCTGGTGAGAAGGCGAGATCCCTGACCTCTCCGCCATGGGCGAACCACTCTTGCAAGATGCATGCGTCTCGCGCATCCCACAGGATGATGGTGAAATCCTTGGAGGCCGTCGCTACCCACCGCCCATCTGAGGAGATGACGAGCGCGGTGACATCCGAGTCATGCCCGGGTTTGCCCGCTACTCCAGTCAGCGTACAACTCAGGAGGCATTGTTGATGAACAAGACTCACACTTGACGTCATCTGGCAGCACCCATTTCTCGCTCAGTGGATGGAACGACAACTTGCTAAACTCGTCCGACCAGGAAATCGTCTTCCGTACATTCAGGATTGGACCACCGGAGGCCGACAATAGTACGCTGTGAGCAGGATAGCCGAGCAGGACCTCCTTCAGGGCTGCACAAGCCTCCAGATGGGCAGGTTCATGACATTCTTTGTATAGACAGCCGATGTCGTGAGCCCAGAGGACTAGAGTGACGTCTTTCATCGCCGTCTGTTCTAGATTGCGTAACACCCGGACGGCGTCTTGGAGTTGCTCCGGTTTGACTTGGATCCACCATATCCAAGATGTTGGGCGGTCCCCGCGCGCTTGTGGACGCGGCATATATGACGGTTCTAGTATGTATTGTATGAGGTATGTGAGTTCAAGTCGACGAGGAGACGGAATGAGAGACGCACGAGTATGTTGGTCGATTGCAAGTGTGCTAGTAGTCGCTCGGTTCACTACGTAAAGTAGCATCTCCGTGACGTCTATGTCTACGTTCCGTAGTATCTGAAAAGCCAACCTGATTTAGCGGATGGAAGAGCACGGATGATCGTGCACGTGATAGCTCTTACATTCAGTGTTCGCAGCTGCAGCCGACGTGCATCAGTTGCCACAAGAGGATTGTGTGACTGAAACGACAGGTATTCGCAAGTGAGGTTCTCCATGTTCGGGAAGTTCATGAGGAAGTCGAGGAAGTCGGTTTGTGAGTGGAGGGTAGCATTGCGAATCATCAGGCTTCGAAGGCTGATCGCGAATTGCATGCCGGAGATTGGGGTGGATTGCTTGAGTGCGATGTAACGCACGCTGGACAGCGACCTCCCAGTAAATGCGACGTGATGGAGACGGGGGAGGATGGAGAGTAAATGCAAGGAGAATGGGGAGAATATCTCCAGCGGAAACAACAGAGATCGCACGACAAGCTGAAGGTGCGGCCGAGCTTGGACAGCATGGTAGAACAGAGATAACTGATCATGGCTCTGTGTGTCGACATGTTTGAAGAGAACAGTGGTGCTACAAGGACGGAGCTGGCTGCAGGTGAGAGCGAGGGCCCGCAGTGTGGCCGTGTCGCCCGAACAGTGGTTGATGGCCATCTCGATGACCTCCCATGGGAGCGCCGGTGATCGCATGAAGGGTGACACCAAGGGTAAGGCTTTGATGGGTTCTTCTGTAGGAGCCATAACGGTGTGGTCAGGGTTGCCGGTAGGAAGTGCAGTGAGCGAGAGAGAGTAGGAGCAAGGCCACTCAAGGAAACAATTTCAACATGTGTCATGTGACTTTACCTATCCGAGTCGAGGACAATAGGAAGGTTCATGCGTTGCCTCATTTGGTCTTCGTTACCTCCGTCAGCCTTACCATACTAGCTTTCGTTTACCCGTGGCTTTGCCACTCAAGGCCTTAGTATCTATAAAGTTGTATCAGTTTTCATTATTGCAAGCACATTTGTAAGGTCAGTGGTCACCCTTAGCACAATCAGGCTGTCACAGTTTTCTCGTGCCACGTGACCTGGGGGTCATGTGCACCAAGACAGACACACACCTCAACCGCGGACAACTTGTATTGGGAACCAGAGCAGCCAGATTCGAACCCCAGACCTCGAAGGCTGGGAGCGCCCACCATCACTCACTGGCAGGTGACTGGTGTGTCACCAGAGGCGCTTACTCATTGGAAGGGGCCCGGACTTAGGACGACTCAGGTATTAGTTGTAAGGATGTTATGAGGCAGGTCACAGGACAGGGCATGAGTCAGCGGGAAGTCTGACCAAACAATGGACAATAGAGACCTGGTCTGTGCACCGTTGTATTAGTATAAATAGTAGGGAGTCTGAGGCAGAGAACCTCAGACTTGATCTTCTCGTCGATCACCCGTCTCCTCTGTAGGTAGCTAGCAGCCCTACCTTCTACTACCCCTTCTAGTCTAGGGAATCCACATCTTTGCATCATCTCTTGCTGTGTCACTTGTGGTTGCTTCGCTCTCAGCACCAACCCCTTCATCAGTAAGCTTTGTCTTTGTTTATCTGATAGCACAGCTCGTTGGCTGTGACACAGGCCTGGTTTTGTGCACATATACCCACTGGTGGGTGAGAACATCACTTTTTAGTTGAACTGTCTTGTGGTGTAATGCTTTAACAGGTGGGTTCAGGCCACTTTACATGAATCCATTGTAGGGATTCAAGCAAATATCAGTGGAGGTACCCTAGGTAATGTTCTAGGATAGCTTACGGTTTACAGTTGTCCCTCTGGTTCCCTAGAAGTTAGTAGATGCCCCTGTTGCTTTATGACCATTGTCTGGAGTTGCAAGACTATTTTCATAAGCCCCGCTGAGCAGTGTTACGGACGTTGCACAGGCGCCCCTTTTTGCCGCCCATTCCCTTCCCTTTGATGCCCACCTTCCAGTTTCGAACCATTTCCTTTCCTAGCCCATCCCAGTTTGGACACTGTAGATACTTTCCCACTGCTACATGCTCCGCTCCCGTGATCACCATGCTCTTGCCTTTTCTTTCTCACCCTTTGTTCTTCCTTTGTCATCTTCACTGCCTCGCTCTCGCGCTTTGTCTTTGGTTGCTAAGCAGCCCCTCCAGTATATAAGGACTCCCTTAGGCACCCCCTAGTCCCCATCTCGACCTCTTGGTCATTGGGACTATGTGAGTGGCCATAGTGTTGTATCTCCCTTCGGTTGCTAATGTATAACTTGGTCATTGGGACTAGTCTGTCGCTGCTTGCGTGAAGACTAGCTTTCGTCGGTCTTGTGCCCTCATGCCAGCCGCCGCTCTGCCCTCATCGAGTTTCTTGACACATTTATCCCTTTTCTCCCTTCTTCCTCCTTTCGGCTCCTTGCTGCTCGCCTACGGGGTCATTGCCGAACGTTGACCCGAGTCTACGCGCCTAGTCGCCGCGACAAGCAGATGTCACATTCTGCAAGTTAGGCCCTGTGAAAAATCATCCGTAAGGTTTTTCTAAGTTCAGTGTGAGACCTGCTTACTTACTCTTATTGAGCATTATATAAATACCTTTTTGTCTTCTACTCAGAAAGTTCAGCATGCAAAAATTCCATCCTTATCATTCCCAGCAATATGTGGCCATATCTTCCCTCTGTTATGTGTAGATAGCAGCCATCAGATATTGAGGTCCAATTTGTCTTGTTGTTGTAATATCCTGGCCTCACCCGTTGAACGGAGTGTCCAACATGCAGGACATTCATGATGATGATGATGATGATGATGATGATGATGATGATGATAAAATCAATTTATATAGTAGCGCCTAGGCCAGCTACAGCCTATGCAGCTACTTCCCAAATACATGTGTGTGGTTGCATGCATATGTGAGGGCTAACAAAGCATAGTAGCATTCCCTTTTCCGTCCAAAGAAAGTGCGTGGGGCTGAACCCCGATTGCCGGTTGTTGTAGGTAACTATGTCCGCCCATGGGCGACCGAGGGATGCAGACCACCAGTTGCCCAATTGGTCACCAAAACTACCCTTCGAGATGCTGGGTTGGGCCAGGAAAGGCAGGACACCCGTGTGGCGCCCTGGGCCCATAAGTGGGCACATGGCAGCCATGCGGCACCATGTGGATGCCATGTGGCTTAGATGCCCCCACGGCCCTTTCTTTTATGATTATGACGATGACGATCCCACAGATGCATGGGCCTCCATTTGTATAGCAACCAATCAGTGGCTACGAGACATGTTTAAGACCTAGCATTAGGTACGGATCAGGAAAGGACCGGAATGGTGCACGCGTGTTTTGTGAATGACAAGAGGACGGGCGTTGAAGTACATGAGTTAGAGTAATAGCAAAACAAGTGTTGGTCACACAAAAGCAATGTACTTTGTCTCGTTCGAGCCAGCAATGGTGGGCACAGGGCGGATCCGCACAGTATTGTTGTTGGACGTAGCCGTGCAAGGTGTAAAGCTGTCCGACTTGTGGTGCCTTGCCACCCGCCTCTGCACAAGGGCTTCTGGAACGTGAACAGCTCAAGCTTGGGTGATAGGAGGGCATGGGTATCAGGAAACGTACAGGATTGCATCTGTACTATCAACTTAGATGAGTCCACGTCAACAAACGACTGGTGGTGTGTGGTTGATCCTGAGCATGTCTGGCTACGAATGCTGCGTCAGAAGAGGGCTACCACAGCGTGCTCCGAAAGAGACCACATGACGAAGAAAGCTAGCCAATCTCGGAGACCATTTGAACGCATTGCGGACGATCACATCAGGAAAAACCGCATTCGCTCATTAGAGATAAATTAGTGTAGTCCATAATAATGGCTACTAATCCGCTCTTCACTTTCTCTAATGACAGGCGGCAAATGTAAGCGAGCAATGACTTGACTTACTATGTTTCAAGATACTTTGTTGTTCTAGAGGTCCATGTATGTTCAAACATGGCCAATTTGGAAGGTTGCAGGTGTTGTCCGCTTGTGTACACTCCGGCGGATGTATGACTGCCTCTTTGAGCACCGGTACTTGGACGTGGAATGACATTTGTTTAGACGCCCCTCGTGCTTGGACGCGCAAGCTCGACAGGCATTTAAACACAAGTCATCTCTCCCAGCTGCCACGTCATGGTAGACGGAGTAGGTCGCTCTTTCACCTCCTCCGTCTCTAATCTACTCCTGGTATAGTCTGAGTATCCAAAGCTAGCATTGAACACCTCCTTAGTGAGGTACACTGGCCTTATCTGGTAGGTTGCGTGACGCGGCATGTTCACATGTTCAACATCTGGAGGGAGCAGCAAGGCCAGGGATCCAGTGCAGGTAGGTGGATGAGAATCAAGGAGCACACACTTCACAAAGCTCTAGGTGTGTTCATTTTGTTTGATCTCTCCCTGCCTGCCCCGATGAATTGCTGTGAACACTATGTCATGGGTGTCGCACGAACTGGGTGCTCTCCTTGCATGCGCGTAAGTCCCTCCATCCCTTAACGTTGTGTACGCTTTCTGCTCATGTGTAGATTCCATGTTCTCCAGTGAGTACAT